TAACTTGTTGATTTGGTCTGTGTTCACAGCTCCGTCAAGACCACGGTTCGTAGGTCTAGACGTGTTTGACCAAGAACAAGGTCTGATAGCTGTGAGCAAGCTCACAAGGATGAAGGAAGAAGCTAGGGTTTGGGGTTGATGTAGGAGAGAGAGAGAGAGAGCAGAGAGTGAGAAGAGAGAGACTTCTTAAATTTTTCTGTGATATATGAGTTTGGGATTGAAGGACCTTAGACATCAAAAAATAATTTTGTGGATCTCTTCCATTACGAAAAGTGGGAGAGGGATCCTAGACTAATTTTCCCACAAAAAAATGTCAAAGCATAAAATTAAAAATAAAATGTTTGTAGGACTTCTCATCAAATTATTTAACGAAGTATGAATTTTCTAATAACAAAAAATATTCATTGGATTTAATAGCTTATACTCTACTTAAATTGAATTTGTCATTAATTTTCTGGTATTAGAAAACTGTGAGACCGTTAGAAACATTTATTATTATTTTTTTTAAACATAAAAACAAAAACAGAACAAAAAAAGAAAAAAAAAACAAAGAATGTTTTCAAAGCAGAGATGCGGCATCCGATTAGCATGAGAGCCAAAACAAATAGGAAAAAAACTATCTGCCACGAAAACGAGGCGCCAGAAAAGCAAACCCACTCATCTTCATCAAATGGGAAAGTCAATGCATTAATTTTATAAGGATATATTAATAATTTATTTGAGCAAAATTAGTAATTTAATGGTCCTTCTTTTTCTTTTTTTCTTTTTTTTGTAAAGAATTGATGCTCAGTGGTCGTATATGTATCAATTAATATATTAATTAATATACCAACACCAGTTATGATATTATTATTAATCTCACTTATTAATCACATTATAAATATAAAAAAATCTCTTAAATTATGTCATATTATCAATTGATATACTAATTAGTACACTAATTGATGCATATAGTATTATTTATTAACGATGTTTTGATTAGTCTTAATTTTGAATATTTATTTGATTCAATGTTGAGCTGAGTCATATGTTCTTCAATTTTTAAACTTGAATCCAATCAATCCTTAACTTACATGAAATTTTAAAATAAACAACTATAATAGCATATTCATGTTAAAATAATAATATTGATAATTAATCGACTCAACAGTTTGAATGAGGCTAATCACTTCGCATAAATTATATAACAAATTAAATTTGTGTCTAATCTATTCCTTCTTAACTCCATCAAATCCATCAAATGGAGACTAAACTAAATAACGATTTGATTTGAGGTACGTATGAATAGATATATATATATATATATATCGACATTTAAATTCATATAAAATTGAGAAAAATATATTAGAATATACATGCAAATAATATCTATTAATGCAACACATTTTCAGTCTAGAAAAAACCTTGACAAAAACATAAGACTCATAAGGATTGTGTTGTGTTCAGTTGTATGATCAAATTATTTAATGTTAGACTTTTTCTAATGTATAAAGCACATCAACCAAATCATGCATGACCAAATATCACAGGTTTGAGAGAGAGAGAGAGAGAGAGAGAGAGAGAGAAAGTTACCATGATATAGAAAGAGATAGAGAGAGATGAGCAGAGCTGCTGGGGGAGAAGATCACCATGACACGTGAGAGGGAAGAGATCTGATCTAACCAGGAACATTTTTCTATTAATTAACATTTTTTAATCAATATATTTGTACGAGTCTGGAAAATATATGCGATGTGAGGACTCGATCACAAACCTATTTTGAGGCTGGATTTTTGGGATTAAAGTCAGTAACAGAATTGAGAATATAACGATTTGGGATATGTTTATTTTTGGGTACTAGTTGAATTTTAAGACTGGTTACTCAACTCCTGTCATTTTGATACTTTTTGGCAAATCCATCAAATGGAGACTAAACTAAATAACGATTTGATTTGAGGTACGTATGAATAGATATATATATATATATATATCGACATTTAAATTCATATAAAATTGAGAAAAATATATTAGAATATACATGCAAATAATATCTATTAATGCAACACATTTTCAGTCTAGAAAAAACCTTGACAAAAACATAAGACTCATAAGGATTGTGTTGTGTTCAGTTGTATGATCAAATTATTTAATGTTAGACTTTTTCTAATGTATAAAGCACATCAACCAAATCATGCATGACCAAATATCACAGGTTTGAGAGAGAGAGAGAGAGAGAGAGAGAGAGAGAGAGAGAGAGAAAGTTACCATGATATAGAAAGAGATAGAGAGATATGAGCAGAGCTGCTGGGGGAGAAGATCACCATGACAAGTGAGAGGGAAGAGATCTGATCTAACCAGGAACATTTTTCTATTAATTAACATTTTTTAATCAATATATTTGTACGAGTCTGGAAAATATATGCGATGTGAGGACTCGATCACAAACCTATTTTGAGGCTGGATTTTTGGGATTAAAGTCAGTAACAGAATTGAGAATATAACGATTTGGGATATGTTTATTTTTGGGTACTAGTTGAATTTTAAGACTGTTTACTCAACTCCTGTCATTTTGATACTTTTTGGGGGACAATGCAATGGGTGAGACTGTTTTTTTTTTTGTTTTTTTGGTCAAAGAATAACTATTGGTTGCCAAACTAACCAGAGTATGCCACACCCCTATTATTGGATTAATAATCACTTTGCTTGGTTTGGATTTTCTAAAAACATTTTTTAAAAAATTCTACTTTTTTTGTTTTTCATAATTTTTTTTTGTTTTTACAATTTTTTTTAATATTTTAAATAATTTTTTTTTTAATTTTTAGACACACCTAACATAAATACATTTAAAATGTATAATTTTCGTAAAAAAAATCTTTTAAAAATTCACTAAATATCAAAAATAAAAAAAAATACGAAAATTCAATATAGTTTTCATATTTTTGTGTATTTAATAATATTTTGCAATATTTTTTCACAAATATTTTACTTTTTAGATATATCTAAGTAAGGTGCATCTAAAAAAATATAAAAAAATGTTTAAAATTTTAAAAATATTTACTAAAAACCAAAAAATATGAAAAAACAAAAAAACTCAGTTTTTAAAAAATTAAATTTAAAAAACTGAAACTAAATACATTGAATAATGTTAAATTGATCATTTTTTTTGGGGGGGTCTAAAAAACTGATTCACAAGGAAAACACTGATACATAATTTTCGCCTAAAATAATGTTGCAATGGCAATTTTAAAAATATAATTATATTGAATGGTATTTGTTTATCACATCATTTTGAATCAAAATTTTGAATAATTTGTTTTGTTTATATTAAATCAATACAAGAGTAACATATAAAATGATAAACTACATTTGGTATATTAACATGATGATGGTAACCCTATTATTGAACTCAATAAATAACTTGAAAAATAGTTGAGAGCACTAAAAATAGTGCTCTACTAACATCACTAATGATGTGGCAGTGAGCCTCGCCCACTGTCTATGCCTTTTCTTTTTTCTTTTTTTTTGATATTCTCAATGCATTAGTACTATTAGTGATTTTTTTTTTTAATAGAATGAATCATTGTTGAAATAATTTTGGCCGTCTTAAAACCCTAGAGGTGAACTAGATATGAGAAAAACCACTAGGAAGTGATGCGGTTTAAGTCACTGCCAATGCTTAAGAACACTCAGTAACTCATGTCGTAAAGAAAACAGAGAGAAAACAAAAAAGCATGACAACTTCTGAAAAATAAGTGATTAATAAATTACAAATATCTTTCCTATTGAGTTGGGTAATGCTATGTGCACCATTGTTATATATTTTTACAGTAACATTACATATTTTTTAGTTAAAAAATATTTAATATTATCACAAAATACATAATATTAGTACAAAATGTTTAACATCATTTTTGAAGCTCAAATTATTGGAACTCTACCAAAAAATTATATAACATTTATCATAAAAATGCTGAACATACTCCAAAAAATACATAACACCACAAACACATAACAAGGTGATATGATACACTTTTTGAGGGGGATGTCCACCACAACATTTCCCAATTGAGTTGCAGAACTAAAATAAATAAATTTTAAGGGGAAAAAAAAAAAATTAGCAACTTCTATGTGGCTACTATATTTTACTTCTATATTCTAATCTTTACTCATCCAACATCAAATTATTATCACTACCATCTCACTGTCACCAACACTAAACCGTGAGCACAGATCACCATCAATAAAATGGCACTAAACAAGAAAATCTTTCATCATGGCACCATAATGCTGATCAATAATAGCAAAACGGTTCACCCAAAATAAATAAATAAATAAATAAGAGTAAAATCAAGGAGATAAGGGGAGCCTGGAGCCTCTATTTCCATATATCAAAAACTTCAAATTTCTTAACACACAGAAATAATTTTAAAATTTGATATTTTGTTTAGTACACAACACATTATATTAAAAATACCTCTACTTCAATTTTCAAACCCTAACATTCCTAGTCCGAGCCACCTACCACCATTCCTTCTAACAATCCTTCTCCTTTCTCCTGCATCCTTTCCTGACACCCCCAACCTCCGACTCCCTCCTGCACCCCCCAAACCCTACATGCAACACACAAGTTGCAACTCGAACCAGCACCGGTCACAACACCCCATAGTACAACACCAAGAGTTGTGTCGCAACCCCAAAACCCTAATTCCCCCACCTTATTTGGAGATAAAAAAAATCTAACTAGTTCACCTGTTCCGCAGTTGAAAATTAAACAAACTCCAGGTCATGACAAAATCACAATCATGCCAAAAACCCAGCAATGCCTGTAGAATGTTGAAGAATCCCATGGTATCATTAATTCACAATACCAAGGTACTGCAAGCATTGCAAGAGAAAATATCAAAGTACAATAACATTTAATTTGCAGTGTACCCCATTAGTTAGCACCACTGTAACCATAAGCACCAGGCTGAGTGAGAGAGAGGGGAAAAAAAACCCAAAACTCATTCACTTGTATACAATTTAGAGGCAGGAGAGAAACAATTTTGGAATCTAACAATAATAATATATCTCAATTCACTGATTAAACACTATTATAGCGACTCAAAGCTTTTTACGTTTAAAAATAAAACACTACAATTAGATATAAATGGTACACTCATTAAATTGAAATAACTTGCTAAAATAAGTGCACAGTAAAGGATCCAGCACTTTCAACTAACACAATCCTAAGAAAACACGACCCTACTTGTTTGAAGACAGAAAATACACTAAAAGATGAAATTCTCTCACTGATCCCCGGGCAGTGTCTTGATGATGTCTGAATCGCCTGAGATATTAACAACAAACAATACAGGCACAGCTCGTTAAGCCAACAGCTTGTTATGGAAAGGCAAGTTTAACACAAGAAAACAATTGTAATACCTGGATCAATAATGCTAAGGCATGACACGCGGAAATACTTTCCACATGCTGTTCCCAGATCAACGTTGTCTGGTGCAGACCAAAAAAGCCACACAAAAAAAAGGGGGCACCAAAGCACATCTCATCAGTAACAAAATAGTGCAGCAGCTCCAAACAAGTACACATTATCTTGTCTAGGGCTATTCTAACAGGAACAAAATAATTGCATGATGTAAACTTTAAAGAAATTGAGTCTGAAAAACAATTCAATGCTGCCCATAAAATAGGAATAGCACTGAGTTCAAGGAACTTCAATATATTGTTGAAGAAAAATGCTTGGGAGCACTAATTAGTGCTCCCACTAATTAGGTGGCAGTGGGTCCCGCCATTAATGATGTGATGTTTTGGTCTTCTGAAAAATAAGTGATTAATAAATTACAAATATCTTTCCTATTGAGTTGGGTAATGCTATGTGCACCATTGTTATATATTTTTACAGTAACATTACATATTTTTTAGTTAAAAAATATTTAATATTATCACAAAATACATAATATTAGTACAAAATGTTTAACATCATTTTTGAAGCTCAAATTATTGGAACTCTACCAAAAAATTATATAACATTTATCATAAAAATGCTGAACATACTCCAAAAAATACATAACACCACAAACACATAACAAGGTGATATGATACACTTTTTGAGGGGGATGTCCACCACAACATTTCCCAATTGAGTTGCAGAACTAAAATAAATAAATTTTAAGGAAAAAAAAAAAATTAGCAACTTCTATGTGGCTACTATATTTTACTTCTATATTCTAATCTTTACTCATCCAACATCAAATTATTATCACTACCATCTCACTGTCACCAACACTAAACCGTGAGCACAGATCACCATCAATAAAATGGCACTAGCAATTATGCTGCAGACCCCAGTGAGGTGACGAGCCCCCACTGGCTGAAAGTCAAAAAAAAAAAAGTTTTTTTTTTTGTCCAATCACGGCGCGCCACCTCACTGGGGGTCGACCCCAGTGGGGGTCCGAAACATTTTTCATGGCACTAAACAAGAAAATCTTTTATCTTCATGGCACCATGATGCTGATCAATAATAGCAAAATGGTTCACCCAAAAAAATAAATAAATAAATAAGAGTAAAATCAAGGAGATATTCCCGCTGTATCCGTATCATACTTTTTCAAGTTTTGACATATCGCCATATCCACATCCCCATATCACCATATCCGTGCTTCCTAAACTATCATTGATGACTTAAAAAAGTATATTTGCTGAAATTTTTATTTAAGAATGGTTTTTTGACTTTAGTTAAGGTCTTGTGATATTCACTGATGAAGGGAAACAAGTTGAAGCTATTGACCTTGAAGACTCTTAATTTTATAAGAATCTTTCTTCTTTATCAAGTTATCTTTTGCTTTAAGTTTTATTTTTATGCATACTGCATTACTAAAAATTGTTAAAATAATATTTTTTACGAGCGTATCATTGCTGTACCCGTATCCTAATTTTTTAAATTTTGTCGTATCGCATCGCTGTATCCGTATCGTATCCGTATCTCATATCTGTATCCGTGCTTCCTAGCTGTAGAATGTTGAAGAATCCCATGGTATCATTAATTCACAATACCAAGGTACTGCAAGCATTGCAAGAGAAAATATCAAAGTACAATAACATTTAATTTGCAGTGTACCCCGTTAGTTAGCACCACTGTAACCATAAGCACCAGGCTGAGTGAGAGAGGGGGGGAAAAAAAACCCAAAACCCAAAACTCATTCACTTGTATACAATTTAGAGGCAGGAGAGAAATAATTTTGGAATCTAACAATAATAATATATCTCAATTCACTGATTAAACACTATTATAGCGACTCAAAGCTTTTTACGTTTAAAAATAAAACACTACAATTAGATATAAATGGTACACTCATTAAATTGAAATAACTTGCTAAAATAAGTGCACAGTAAAGGATCCAGCACTTTCAACTAACACAATCCTAAGAAAACACGACCCTACTTGTTTGAAGACAGAAAATACACTAAAAGATGAAATTCTCTCACTGATCCCCGGGCAGTGTCTTGATGATGTCTGAATCGCCTGAGATATTAACAACAAACAATACAGGCACAGCTCGTTAAGCCAACAGCTTGTTATGGAAAGGCAAGTTTAACACAAGAAAACAATTGTAATACCTGGATCAATAATGCTAAGGCATGACACGCGGAAATACTTTCCACATGCTGTTCCCAGATCAACGTTGTCTGGTGCAGACCAAAAAAGCCACACAACAAAAAGGGGCACCAAAGCACATCTCATCAGTAACAAAATAGTGCAGCAGCTCCAAACAAGTACACATTATCTTGTCTAGGGCTATTCTAACAGAAACAAAATAATTGCATGACGTAAACTTTAAAGAAATTGAATCTGAAAAACAATTCAATGCTGCCCATAAAATAGGAATAGCACTGAGTTCAAGGAACTTCAATATATTGTTGAAATATATGACCCCAAAAAATACTGAGGGAAACACAGGCGTCAGAACTGACAGCTTTTTATAATTTTTAAAAGAGGGATGACATTAATTACTACTGAGTGGTCCAAAAGCACCCCCCTATGCCAGTCACCAATAAGATGGCCAGCTAGGTGGACTACATATAGTGAACCAAATAAAACGGTATTTGAAAACTTAAAAACAAATATAGGACAACCAATTGCAGACAAGTTCTACTAATTGATGGAAAAGTATCAAGATAACACAAGCAAATTTAAAGAGCAATCAAATTTATTTTTGGGGTTCTCTTCTCTCCAACAGAGTGGTTATGGGATAAATCCATCGGGTTGGCCTAATGGAGAAAGGGTTCAAAAGAAGAGAGGAAAGTGACTAGGATTTGTAGACTTGCCGTCAAGTGGGCCAAGCAGGATAAGCATCAAATGCTACCAGGTACTATCCAATGCATCAGACACATTTGTTTGACCTCACAGAAGTTGCCCAGTGCTAAATGGGGGACCATTTCAGAGTTGTATGCCATGTAGAACAACCAGTCATTTCAGAGTTGTGCTAAATGTTACATATAATTTACTTATATGAAAATTGACTTCATTTTAAACACCATGTGTGTATTTTTATATGTATATACACATGTCAAATTACATATCATATTAATTAAAATGAATCTTACAACTTACTATTTTAGCAAAACGATTCACGATTCGATTCACATTGATAAGAATGATTATGTGCACACACACATGGGTGTGAGAGGAGGGCAGGAAGGGAATTGGAAAGCCATGAAGAACCCTATAACAATTGGAAACCAAGTTGAGGATTTTTTTAATGACTATCATAATATTATTCATTTCTAAGATCTGATGTTCATGTGATAGCCTTCTACACTTAGAATAATTTTCAACCCCAAGTTCTTTTTAACAAAGCAATAAATCCCTCGTGTATATTAATGATCACATTGCAACAAGTACTTATCTACCAATTAGTCTGAGGATCTTTCCCAATTAAATAAGCCTGCAATCATGGACCAACCAAATATTGGGCAACAAATAGATTTTTTCTTTAACAAAATAATTTGTTTAAAAAAAAATACTAAATCCACAACCTCCTCACTCATAAGGTGTGGATTTAACAATCTCCTTCGTTTATACCCTTATACTTTAATGTCTTTGTCGCCAACTCTTGGTGCATAGTAAGATAGGCTGTCAAGCATCGAAATGATACTCAAGGCAATCTCTTCATGTAAGCAATACTAGATTTAAGACTATGCCCAAACCACCCCTCCCAGCAACCTTGATTAATGAAACCAGAATTAAGAAATGGCCCCATCATAACCTTTTACCTGAATGTCATAAAGATTTTTGTCAAGCAGCCATATTTAGCAAGGAGTTGGAAACAGAAAAATCTTGTCCTATGGCAGAGAAATGGAAAAGCCTTTTAATACCCAAAATCAATAAATAAGTGCTCAGATTTGCATCATCAACCATTATGTTTCGATTGAAGAAATAGTGAAAAGAAGTGCATGACCTCCCCTTGTCTGGGTAATTAATATGTATGGAAAGAAGGAATTACAAGGGATTATTAAAACCCCCTTACCTCCACTTTTTATTCACCTCCAATACTGGTTAGGTTTTGGAGGGAAGTTAGTGATTATTGATGTTGCCTCCACTTCTAATAAAAGTAAATTCCAGCTAAAACCCTCTTATACTCTCATAGAAATAAAATATTTCTCCCTTCCCCTTCTTTCCTAAATAATATTACCACTAGTCCCTTCATTTTCACTCCTATTACTATCCAAACAAAATCAAGATTAATCCTTCCCTTCACCTTTTCCCCCTTGCCTCCACAACCTACTTCTCTCTTTTATCCCTTTACTTTCAACCAAACATAGTGTGGATTTATTAGAAACATGACAAGAGTTGGGACATTGATATGACAGCCATAGCATTTAGCTGTGCAAGTCTCGGCAGGGTATGCTCTCAAACATGATGATAATAGGCAAGCTTCCAACTTGTTTAATTGTTTAACTGAGAGGAGTCCACATAGGAGAGCTATTATACTCAAATAGAGAAGAAGGTGCAGACATTACAATACAAGAATTCCGAATTTGCATCTGCTCGCACGAGAAAACTAAGAACTACCCAAAAGGAAATAAAAGATAGCCATTTGAATCCTTGCTTGCTCTATCCCTAGAGACGAAGACGAGAAGAAAGAATGATAGTATCACCATCATATTCTCGTCTTCTATAACCTCATTCAAGTCATAAAGATAGACTAAAAGAAGAAAGCTCCAAACAAATACATTGTGTTTGGTTTGTGCTTGTAGAGTAGTTTTTGAGATAAAAAGTACGAAAACTTGTTTGGTTTGCCTTTTTTCAGAAATGGTTTTGAAAAATTGTTTTGAGAGAGTTTTAAAAAAAGTAATTGATTTGATGTATATGAGAGAGAGTGATTTTAGAAAGTAGATAAACAAACAATATTTTGAGATTTTTTTTGAAAAAAATTGTTTGGTTTGATTACTTTTGAAAATTTGTTTGTAGAAAATTTTTCCCAAAATTTTTTCTGAGAAACAAGCCAAACAAGCCCTATTATGTTTTGGCCTTAGCTCTTTGTCTAGCAACAATGAAGGCAAGGACTCAAATGCAGGAAATACAAACCAACTGTGAACTAATGCGAAAGCATCAGATTGGATTGGTTTATTTCACACCTCTCTGTTATCAAAATCTGACTATTCGGGATTCGACTCACCATTCAATTTACAATTTTTGCAAAATCAATACGAATCTATGAGTGAATATATTTTGAACGTGAATCTCTAGTGAATTACACAATTCACAATTGATGCATGATTCGATTCACTTTTTACGATTCACGCAATTTTTAAAATTATCGTGTCCGACATAATACAACTTCTAATAGTGTTTAATACCAAAATAATCAACATATATACAAGATTTGTTGTTATTTTAGTGATCATGAAATTTTTAATAGGATCCAATCAGATTCAGTTAGACCTAATATATTTTTAACATTTCTTCTCATTTTTTTCCCTTTAAAAAATCATAATATATCTTTTAAAAATATTTAAGATTAAAGTTACACTATGAATTATCTATTGTTATTTTATTAAATTGAATATAATTAAATATTACATGTGTGAGATCAATTATACTTTTTAAAATGTTTTAGGCTTTAAAATAAAATATTCTAAATAATTATTTCTTATTATTTGCTCATTGTTACTTAGAAAAGTATGCACGCTTATTGTTCAATATCAATATTGTTATCAATTATTGTTACTTTAAAAATTGATAGTTTGTCTATTTGATTATTGTCTTTATTAAGAATGATTGATATGAAATATATAAAAAAGAAAAACGGTAAGATAATCTTATACAAGAACTTTTGTTAACTTCTTACATATTAAAATACATGATTATCATTCAAAATAACATTTTCATTGATTTAAGTTTAAATATTTCATATTCATAGTATATATTTAACATCTAAAGATGTAGATATGTGTTTTTAAATAATTTAGAAAAAGTGACCGAATCTTTACGATTCACAATTTAATTCGATTCGCAATTCGGTACGAGACCATTTCGATTCATGATACGAATTCTGATTTGACAACTATGTTCTACACTATGTTACCTAGAACATGGATCGTTCTGGTACATAGAACGTGAATGGAAACGTGGTACAGTACATTTTCTAAAATGTGCTACAATAGCGTAGACTTATATATATTACCCTTAAAAATTTAAGATACTTCTAGAGTATTTTTTTTAATTATTAAGCATTCAATAAAATGCATATATATATATATATATTAATGTAGCAAAACATTTTTATGAGTATTATGACTCATCTTTTGACGTTTTGTCTTGTAAAAACTTAACTCATCTTAAATTTTAGTTCATTATATCTGATTTGTTTCCTCCTAAGAAAACATTTAAAAAAAAGTATATTTGAAAAAACTTTTGAAATTACTTTGAACACTACATTTATTGGCCCTGTTTGGTAGAGCTGTGAGAAAGTGCTTATAACTTATGCCTTAATAGCTTATAACTTATAACTATGAACATAAGCTGATTTCTGACTTATAAATTAAGCATCTTCTGCCCTACTCAAAGAATAAGCTGATTTCTGACTTACAAAAAACTATAAGCTGCATTGTTAAACTAAACCAAACACATCAAAATAGCTTAAATTAAGCTGAAAGTTGAAATAAGCAGCTTTTAAGCTGCACCAAACAGGCACATTGTCCTGAAATGAAAATGTACCATATTTCAGAATATACGTACAAATATGCAATTCACTAATATTAGTATTTTATGGTAACACAGATTTCACACCACAAGTCCAGATATCAATTAGTGAATGAAACCTAAACAGTACTCCTCAAAAGACTAAAAGGCACAAACTACTCTACGCCACATCAACGTGGCCTACTAAAAGTGCAGTGTTCAAACATTACGACAAGCCTAATACAGAAGAAGGAGAATTCTACAATACACACCCCTCATCATATACAACTTTAGTTATGTTTTTTTTTTTCTTAGTTATGAACAATTTACTTTTTTAATTATGACATTTTGAGATTTTAAGTTATGGTTTATGTAGTGTTTGGTTATCATTTTTTTATTATTTAATTATCACTGAGAGTAATGCCATTTTCTTCTTTTAATTATAAGAATCATATGGTGAAGGTGTGTACTATAGTCTTTCCCACAGCAGAAACACAGGACAGAGCAACCCATAAAAAAAATTTCCACAGCATTTTCATTTCTTTTGCGAAATGCATATATAAATAATAAAAATACTAACAGAGAAAAATTGTTTACGAACTAGTACAGTTTAGCCAATAAAAAAAAAATGAAGTTTGCAAATGAAATTAATCGCTTACTTCCATTGTAATGGTGGACCCCGACCTTCGCAAGCATAGCATAGTACTCGATCTCAGACTTCCTCAAAGGCGGACAATTGTTTGAAATTATTATCAACTTCCCTGCAATTAAACCAACAATCAAATCACACAATTCCCTAAATAATAAACTAATTCAACTACATATTAAACAAAAACAAAAACAAACACCATAAGAAGATGAAACCTTTGGAATTCCTGAGAGTCTCGAGCACAGTTTTGTAACCGAGGGTGAATTTGCCGCTCTTCATGACAAGAGCGAGCCTGTTGTTGATACTCTCATGAGTCTTCTTCTGCACCCAAAAAATAAATAAATAAATAAATAAAATATCACAACCAACACAAATCTATGTAGAAGAAGACGAGGAGGAGAAGGAGGAGGAGATAGGATATACAGTTTTCTTTGCGGCCACCATTGTCACTTCGAAAGAGGCTTCGAGTGAATCAGAAACCCTAACGAGACTTGTGTGCTTGCTTGCGCGGCTGTGAAGCAGAAAAGAGGGAAAATGGCTGGGGTGTTGGAGTAATAAATAAAAATGAGGGGAGTTAGGGTTTGCTCTACCCTTGCGCTGTTGCATGCGCGTATCGCGTGATGTTTTGAACGGGCCAAAAGCACAACTTTTTCGATATATTATGGGCTTGTGTTTTCGTCCCACTTAGAATTCCAATTATGGGTTGAACTTCAACTTTGGGCCTTTGATAAACAAATCCATTAGACCTATTGGTTGTGTATCTGTCTTCGATTTAACTAGTATGAACAAAAGTTTGATATCCTTTGTGGTAATATTTATTTTTCTCCCATTATGGAATTGTATGAATTAGTAGTTGTTAGGCTTGAACTTGGTGGGTTTAATCTATTAGTTGTTAAGTTTTGTTGACTTTTTAACTATTATAGGCTTATGATCTGTTTACTTATGTAAATATTTATTATATTTGTAATTACTCTCATATGGATGGACAAAAAGAAAAAGAAAAAAAAACTAGGGCCTTTGATATGAGTTGTTTATCATTTTTTGTAGTGTGATATTGCATGTTCAATTTATGTGGAGAGGATTTTGATAATTTTTTATGTGTCATTTATTTCTCTCCAATTATGAGTTGTGTACATTTTTTTATTTCTTGATAAGTTTAGGAGGTGTTTGGGATGACCTAAATAAGTGTACTTTTTGTCTTTTTACGAAAAGATGTGCAGAAAAGTAGAGAAATGATGTGATGGAAAAAAGATAAAAAATGTGTACTTATTTAGGATAGCCAAACTTGGCCTTAAGCTATTCATTGTGATAGTTGTTAAGCTATTCGGTTTCACTTTGGTAAATTGTTGACTCTCCAACTATTGTTGGATTTAATTGTTTAATTTAATGTAATACATCCTATATTAATAATTAATCTCCTACCAATTAATAAAAAATAAACTTCAAAATAAAATCAAAAACATTTTTATTCATACACTTCTTGGATTTTGAGAGGCATACTTGGATGCTAAAAAAACCCTCTTGATTTTAGTGGTTATACTTACAAAAATATTTTTATTCCTACACTTGCAAATTTAGCAGCAAAATGGTGGAAAATAAAACCAACCATGGAGTAGCCCCTAGGTAAGTTCTACCAATTAAGTTACATTTTATCCCATCTCCAATAAATTTTGCATTACCACTCCTTTTGTCACTGGGTATTCCTACAAAAATTCTCAAACTCCTTAGAATCATTGCACTGAATAAATTATTCTTATCCTTTCTTGAAAATGTTAACATCTATAGCACAAAAACTCATTTGAATCCATTTCACTCGTGGCTCTCATAACACCTTTAGACCTTCTTAGACTAAAATAAATACATATCATTTAGTTGAAAATGAGTCAAAAGTGCCTCTACATATCAAAATTTTGATTAAAATGTGATAAATTAAGGCTAAAAGAGTCAAATAATGCATAAAGTTGAGTTTTAAAGGGATTGTTAATGATTTTTGAAATTTTACAGCCGCGACGCCCGATACCCGATACTTACCGGTCGATACTCCTGATACCGATACTCCGCGATCGATACCGTTATGTTACCCGATACCGCGATTTAGAACTATGCACTGAATAAATTATTCTTATCCTTTCTTGAAAATGTTAACATCTATAGCACATAAACTCATTTGAATCCATTTCACTCGTGGCTCTCATAACACCTTTAGACCTTCTTAGCTTTGCATATATGTTTAAATTTACACTTAAAAATCAAAAGAAACATATTATATTTGTTTGGATTAATTACATTTCAGATTTAAAACCTTGTACTTTTACAAAATTATATTTTAACTCTTTCATTTTTAATTTTGATTGTCAATTCTTACACTTTAAGTCAAATTACGAATTATAATCTCATATTTTTCATCCATCAAATAGTAATGAGGCAGACGAAAATCAATATGTGACCCACAATTAACATTTTTCTAATCTCATTAGAACCTTATAATTTCATCAATGTTACAATAGTAGAAAGAGAGAGGAAATAATATGTATTATATTCAATCAATTAATCCTATACAATAGAAGGTGCGTATATATAGGCTGAGAAAAAATATCCTATAAAGAACTTAACTACGAAAAATAGTATCCTATAAGAAACCTAACTATGGCAATACAAATTTATATAGGAAATCAATACTTAACATATCTACGAATATATACCATATATATATTAACATCTCTCCTCAAACTCAAGGAGGATAAACATCTTGAGTTTGAAGAGAGAAACTAAAACATGAAATAAAACTAAATAAAACAAAAGGCAAATAGATTGCAAAGTCCAAATGGTAGCGCAAGGACGCTTGAGATAGATCAGAGGCCGGAACTAATGCAGGGAGACAGTTTATGGTCGTGTCTAGCTGTTGTAGGAATTAGCCGAAACTAATGTCTGGATAAGTTAAGGTTATACTAGATCGTTGTAGGAACTGACCGCAATCAATGTCGAAACAGTTTACAGGGTCATGTCAAACCCTTGTAGAGACTGGATATTGAACCAGCAAGTGTGGCACACACATAACTTATGACGTTGTGTTGAACGATGATGGCAACAGATGACTAAGTGCGCTAGGGGGTGGCTTGGAGACTGGATGTCGAACCAACAAGCGTGACACACACATAACTTATGATGTGGTGCTGAAAGATGATGTCAATAGATGATTGAGTGCGCCAGGAGATGGCTTAGATGGTGCACCAAGGGGTGACTTTGGTGGTGCCCTAAGGGGCGGCTTGGGTTGTGTGCCAGAGAAGCGACTTGAGATAGATCAGAGGTCGGAACTAATGTCGAGAAACAGTTATGGTCGTGTTAGACTATTGTTGAAACTGGCCGAAACTAATGTCGGGACAGTTTAAGGTCATGTTGGATCATTGTAAGAATTGGCCGAAAACAATGTCGAAACAATTTACGGGGTCATGCCAGATCGTTGTAAAGACTGGATGTTGAACAAGCAAGTATGGCACACACATAACTTATGACAGTGCTAAACAATGATGGCAACAGATAACTGAGTGTGCTAGGGAGCGATTTAGAGACTGTATATTGAACTGGCAAACGTGACACACACATAACTTATGATGTGGTGTTGAACGATATTTAGGGTAGAAATAAATTAGCGGATAGAGGAAGAGATAGAGATCACCATGAAGCAATACTGAAAGGAAAATATAGCAGCATAATGGTTTGATGTCTGGTAGGTGATCAATGCGAGGTTGTCGCTTTCCGGTAAGACGAAGAACACCAAGAGCTTAACTTATAGCTCTGATACCATGTTACAATAGTAGAGAGAGAGAGAGAGGAAATAATATATATTGTATTCAATCAATTAATCTACAATAGAAGACTTGTATATATAGGGTGAGAAAAGTATCTTATAAGAAACCTAACTATGGCAATATAAATATATCTAGGAAATCAATACATAATATATTTAGGAATATATACCATATATACATTAACAATAAAAAATGAACATAAGAAAAGAAAAAAAAAATCGAAAAAAAAAAAATGACACTACAGGTGTTTCATCATAAACCGCTACATATTCATTAATTATACCACTAAAAATTATGGATAATGTAAGAGATACCAAATTTTCTACTAAATAAATGACCAAATGTCTCACATGAGTGTGGGGTCCGCAATTTTGTAGATGTCACACCCATATGAGACATTTTATCATTTATTTGGTAAAAAATTTGGGACTTATAGCATTTTCCTTAAATTATAAAGGAAGATCAACAAACATTGTGATCCAAACCCACAAGGCCCTAATCAAACTCTTTACCATATATCATAGCACGGGATAAAATAATATATTATTTAATAAAAATATGATAATTATATTTAATTTTTTTATATTTTGTAAAATAAAAGTTAAATAGAAGCTAGTCAATCGGGATTTTCTTAATTGTTTAAAATTAAGGAAAAAAAAATAGTATGAGATATTGACCATAAGGCCTCTTACTAAAAATCTCATTTTGCTTCTATAAATGAGAATATAAGATTCACTTTATGTAAGTGAAACGGTTCACTTTTTCTTTATTTTCTCAATGTGAGATTATAAAATAAAAGTTAAATGAAAGCTAGCTAATGGGGATTTTCTTAGTTGTTTAAAAGTTAACAATTGTTTGGGCGGGAAGTTTATTTCAAATCAAACATTTTTAGCCATTTAATCTTTAATTAGGCTAATCTTTAATTTATTTCGAATCCAACAAATTTAACCATTATATTTTGTTAAAACCGCTAAAATCGAAGTTAAACCAGCGAATCAGTCAAATCGAAAACGATTCACCCTATCGGTTAGGTCAAAGGACCAACCAATTTATACAAAAATTTTAAAATTTAAACTATCTTAAACTGAAACATACATAACACTACGATATTAAATGGAAGCATATGATTTATATAGTGAAACAACTCATTTTTTTCTCCTTTTCCTGATGTGTGATTGTAAAATAAAAGTTAACAGTTGTTTGGACGGAAAGTTCATTTCTAATCAAGCAATCTCAGCCGTTCAATTTTTAATAAGGTCAATCTTAATTTATTTCAAACCAAACAAATCTAAGTAATATATTTTGATAAAACAGCTAAAACCGTAGTTAAACTAGTGAATCAGTCAAACCGAAAACGATTTAACCTAATCGGCTAAGTCAAAAGACCAACCGATTTATAACAAAATTAATTAATTTAAACTTTAAATTTTATTTTAAAATTTAAACATCTTCAATTGAAACATGCACAATACTATAATATTAAATGAGAGTATAAAACTCACTTTATATAAGTGAAACAACTACTTTTTCTTTTTTCTTTTTCTCGATGTGTGATTGTAATTATTTTTAAGTTAAATATTATAAGAGCTTCAAAATCTCATAAAAAAATTATTTTAAAAAATCAAAGCGTCTATGTGGAATTGTAAAATAAAAGTTAAATGGAATCTAACCAATGGAGATTTTCTTAATTGTTTAAAATTAAGAAAATCAAAAAAAAAAATGGTATTGATTATAGAGCTTCTCACTAAAAATCTTCTCTTGCTTATAAATGAGAG